GGAATTTCACAGAGGGCATAAGAGGAAAGTCAAGATTCAAATAATAGCTAGCAGAATGGGAACATCTGCATCAAGTAAAATGAACTTTTCCAGAAAAGTTATACGACTGTCCAAAGTAGTAGATATCTGGCATAGGACAGCTATTTATTTCTTCCACCACAAAACAAATGCTTAAAACCCAAAAGACCCATAAGTGTGTACAGAAAAATATTTAAAACATGAAATAGTAACCTATAACAAAACATTCACAGGAGCCCATTAAGAGATACAGAAAACACATGAGTCATTTGAAGGACTTATAGAAACCCATGACCACTAACTACCATACTCTTCCAGATAATAAAAACTTTTATGAGATCAGTAGCACTGATTAAGAGATTCTCCTTTTACCTCATCCACACAGTCTAAGCAGCAAAGTAGGGGGAAGGGAAATAAGCATACATTTATTTTTTTTAATTAATTTTAGTTTTCAACATTCACTTCCATAAGGTTTTGAGTTTTAAATTTTCTCTCCTTCCTTCCCAACCTCCCTCCCCAAGATGGCATACAATCTGATATAGGCTCTACATATACATTCCTATTAAACATATTTTCCCATTAGTCATGTTGTAAAGAATTAGAACCAATAGGATGAACCACAAGAAAGAAGAAACAAAACAAAACAGATGGGGGAAGAAAAGAGCACATAGTATGCTTCTATCTATATTCAAACTCCATAGTTCTTTCTCTGGATGTGGATAGCATTTTCCATCATGAGATCTTTGGAGCTATCTTAGATCCTTGCATTGCTGAGAAGAGCTAAATCTATCAAAGTTAGTCACTGCACAATGTCGCTGTTACTGTGTACAATGTTCTCCTGATTCTGCTCACTTCACTCAGCATCAGTCCATACAAGTCTTTCCAAGTCTTTCTGAAGTCTGCTTGCTCATCATTTCTTTTTTATTGCTTTTCAAAAAAAATTATTTTAATATTTCCCAAGTACATTTTTTTTTTTGGTGAGGCAATTGGGGTTAAGTAACCTGCTCAAAGTCACCAGCTAGCAGTGAGTGTTATGTGTCTGAGGCTGGATTTGAACTCAGGTCCTCCTGACTCCAGGGCCAGTGCTCTATTCACTGCTCCACGAAGCGGCCCCTTTGCTCATCATTTCTTATAGCACAATAGTATTCCATTACATTCATATACCACAACTTGTTCAGCCATTCCCCAATTATGGGCATCCCCTCAATTTCTAATTCTTTGTCACCATAGAAAGAGCTGTTATAAATATTTTTGTACATGTGGGTCCTTTTCCCATTTTTATGATCTCTTATCCAATAACCCTAGAAGTGCTATTGCTGGGTCAAAGGGTCAATAGCCACATTTTTATTGCCCTTTGGGCATAGTCCCAAATTGCTCTCCAACATGGTTGGAGCAGTTCACAACTCCACCAACAATGCATTAATTTTCCAATTGGGAAATAAGCATTTAGATAGCACCTATTACATGTCAGGCACATATTACAAATGTTATCTCATTTGATCCTCACAACAACCCTGGGAAATAGGTGCTGTTATTATCACCATGCTACAGTTAGGAAAACTGAGGCAAACAGATTGTGACTTGCCCAGCATCACAAAGCTAATAAGTATCTGTGGGTAGATGTGAAATCACGTCTTTCTGACTGTGCAGGCCCAGAGCTCTATTCATTTCTGACACTTAGCTGCTTCACACAGCAACTGGTCATGATCTATGTTTTCTGAGCAAACAGGTAGGCATGGTTCATCTTCCTGATGGCAGTCATCTCCTCTAAGAAAGTGCAGGGAAGCATCTTCTGCTCAACCAGTGCCCAACCTCTCAATAACTCTGAATTTATCAAGCTCATTAGGTAGTCCAAAACAAGCTAATTATAATAGCCAGCATTTATGTAGCCCTTACAATGGGCTGAACACTGTGCTAAGCACTTTACAAATGTTACCTCATTTGATCCTCATGTCAACCCTGTGAGGTCAGTGCTATTATTATTCTCCCTTTTACAGTTGATGACACCAAGGCAGATAGAGGTTAAGTGACTCACCCAAGGACACACAGCCAGTAAGTGTCCGAGGTCAAATTTGAACTCAGATCTTCTTGACTCCAGGCTCAGTGCTCTATTTATTGTGCCACCTAGCTGCCTACTCAAGTTATTAAGTGGTTATTATGTGCCAGGCATCATCCTAAGCACCATGGATACCAAGAAAGGCCAAAACAATTCTCACCTTAAGGTGTTAACATTCTCATGGGCTGGAAACATCCATCTCTCAGTTTAATCACCTGTGCTTAAAGAAAGAAAAATAGAAGAAGAGGCAGCCAAGGACTTCAGATTCAATCATTTTATCTCAGGATTATCTAGGCAAACAAATGTATAGACTGAAATATGTGCAATCATGATAGCTGCTGCTGGGAATGGAGGTGGGGCTGGGAGTGGAGGGAGACTTTCCTCTCTGTCCGGTCCACTCTAAGTCCAAAAGAGAGCTGGCAGAGCCCCAAGTAATGACTAAGGGGAGAGAGATGGAGCTCAAAAACAAAATCAGATCTTGTTTCTCCTTTCAAGCCTGATTGGGGGGGGGAGGGTCATCCCTATGGAATAACCAATCATTTTCAACACAGGCTCACCCTTGTTACATTCTGTTGAGGGGATACAATAGGCACACACATAAATAGAAGACACAAAAGTAAGTACATACTAATTTTAAGAGCAGAACACCAACAATTTCTGAGATCAGCAAAAATCTCTTGTAGGAGGCTGCACTTGAGCTCAGTCAAAGGGAGCTAGGGATTCCAAGAGGCAGGTTGAGGAGGGAGAGCATTTCAGGCATGGGTGATGGGGCAGGCTGATAGGGCAGCCTGGGCAAAAACACAAAGGCCAGATGTGGTATGTTATGTCGTGTAGATGAGGAACCAGTTTGGCTGGAATGCACAGTGAGGAGGGGTAACATGAAACTAGTCTGGAAGGATAGATTGTAGCCAGATTGTGAAAAGCTTTAAATATCAGAGGAGTTTTGTATTTGATCCTAGAGGCCATGGGGAGTTGCTTCCTGAGCAGGGAGGTGACAAGATCAGACTTGTGCTTTGGGAGTCATCTCCTTCGAGAAGATAATTGAAGCTAAGAACCAATGAGATAACCAAGGGAGAGGCTGGTGAGAGAAGGAGGAGCCAAGAGCCCTGGAGAGTCTTTTGGGGATACCCTAGATTAGAGAGCAGGAGATGATCACAAACCGGAACCCATGTAGGAGACCGAAAAGAGGTAGGACAAAGAGAAAGTCACCCAAATTCACAACCCAGAGTCCTCCTGGACTCTTCTTTCTTCTTAACCCCACATCTGTAATCATTTACTCAGCCTAACATAGTGTGCTTCCATGACACATCAGTCTCATCTGGCCCCTTCTCCCCATTCAAACAGCTACCACCCTAGTGCTGTCCCTTCCTTATCACTTCTTGGCAGGACTACTTCAATACCCTCCTCTAGTCTCCTAATTCTTCTGTCCTCCTCACCCCCACCAGTCCTTCACACAAGGCCCAAATAAATCCTGGGTCTGGCCATCTCACACCCTTCTCAAAAAGCTTCAGCTCCCTATTGTCTGGTCTGAAAGGGGTTCAGGTGATACAAAGACCAAAAGCAAATAGTATTTAATGTGATTGTTGAAATGAATGGAAGAAGTTTAAGCTATCCAAGTGAGTTACTATTACTATATTAACTCTGTTGCCCAACAGACTCAATTGGGAGAGAATGAAGAAAAAATTTAGCAATGAGACAAAGATACAAAATGTACGGATAGATAAATGAATCAATAAAAAAAGCATTTGTTAAACTGCTTACTGCTTTCAAACACAGTGCTAAACTCAGGGAATACAAAAGCCAAAGAGTTCTGACCTCAAGGAGTTTATAAAAGGTGGCTCAGTGGATAGAGTGCTGAGCCTAGAGGCAAGGACCCGAGTTTAAATCCAGCCTCAGATACTTACTAGGTGGGAAAGTCACTTACCCCTTTGCCTCAATTCCCTCATCTGTCAAATAAGCTGGAGAAGGAAATGGCAAATCAGTCCAGTATCTTTGCCCAGAAAACCCCACATGGGGTCACGGAGAGTCGGACACAACTGAAATGAACACCACCACCAACAAACATATAGGGGAGCGCTAGCCAGGGAAGGTGTTTAAGATCTGGTGAGTAAAGTAGTATCCCTGGAACAATGAACAGGCCAAGCAATTGATAGGCCCTTCTTGAAAGATATCATGTAGTTGCTGACTTGATTCCAATTTTCCGAGCAAAAGGTAGAAGTGGTAATAATGATAGTTAGTATTTATATATTGCTTTAAAAATTGCAAAGCACCCTACAGTGTTATCTTATTCGAGCCTCACAATAAGCCGAGGAGTTAGGTGCTAATTATTATCTCCATTTTACAGTTGGGGAAACTGAGACTGGCAGAGGTGAAGTGACTTACCCAGAGAGTAAGTGTGGGAGGCCGAATTTGAACTCTGGCCTTCCTGGCCCGATGCTCTAATTCCACCATTCTATAAATGAAGAAACTGTGGCAGAGGGAAGGGGATGCAAAAGATCGGAGGGGAGATATCAGGGCACCCATCAATCACACTGCCCAGCTGCTTTTTTTTTCCCACGTGTTTTTGGTTTTATAAGCTCGGACCTCAGTTTTCCCATTTTCAATGGGGGCGGGGGTAGAGGCTCGGTTTAGCACCTCCTGCAGCGCTAGGGAGTGGCCTAGGCTGGGGCGGAGCTCCCCTGGTGACCCAGCGCACAAGGCGGCGCGCCCGTCCCCACGCCACGCCGGACCGTACGTGCGCTGGAGAAACAGGACAGCGCTTCCCTGTCTCAGGGCGCATGCGTCCCAGGCCGGCCCTCAGACCCCGCCTCCATTCTCACCCCCACAAGCCCCGCCCCTCCACTCCGCAGGGCTCGGCGGCCCGGCCCTCTCCCCCATTCCAGGCCCCGCGCGGCCGCGCCTGCTCTCGCGAGAGCCGAGCCTTGGCACAAGATGGCGGCGACGTGAGCGTGTCCCCGCAGCGGGGGGAGCTGCAGCGGGAGCCGCAGAACAAAGGCAGCGCGCGGACACGGGGAGGGATGGTGAGCGCGCGCTGGGGCCGGGGCCGGGCTGGGGCCGAGAGAGAAGGAGGGGATGGAGAAGAGGCGTCGCGGAGGGAAGGGGGGATGAGGGGGCGGGGCGCAGAACTGACAGACTGACTGACAGCTGGGGAAACAAGGACGGGGACACGCCTTCGCCTGCGTTCTTAGCTCCGCCCCTGTTCCAGGCCCTGCCCTATCACGTTCCAAATCCCGCCTCTGTTCTGTGTCCCGCCCCGTAGAGACGCGCCTCTTGTGCTTGGTCCCGCCTCCGTTCTGGGCCTCGCCCTTGCAAACATAAGGGCTCTATTCTGTGTTTCCTTTCCCCGCCTCAGCCAGAGCCCTGGGCCCCGCCTCCCAGTAACTCTAGTCAATATCCTGGGCCCCGCCCCCTGGTCTTAGTCGAAGGCCTAAGCTCCGCCCCCATTCCGTCAATATCTTGGGCCCCACCTCTGAGGATTTTGTCAATATCATGGGCCCCGCCCCCTCAGTGTTCCAAATTCCACCTCTGTTGTGGGCCTCTTCTTCCAGAACCTGCTTTTTTTAGGTCTCCCCGCCCATGCAGATTCTACGTTTTCCCATACGTTGTGGAAACTCCCATTTCTTTCTAGATCTCAACTCTATAAACATTTTATCTCTTTTCTTGGCCCCTCCACTACAGGGTCTCCCCTTCCCACTATAGTCTAACCCAGCCCTTAGGGCCCTGGCCCATTCCAAAATGGTGGCACAGTGGAAAGAGCACTGGTTTTGGAGTCAGAAAATAGGTTAAGACCCTGCCTTTGACAACAGCTGTGTGACCTCAGGCAAGTCATTTAGGTGCACTCCCTTGGGCCTCCTGTGGAGGCCTCTTCCTGCCCTGTATTTTATACTCCTGTGCTTCAAAACGATGCCCTCTACCCATTCTAGGCTGTGCCTTGTTCCAATCTTTGTCCCCATCACCTAGAATCTTCCCCAGCCAACTTCCCCCACCCCCCAATATTCTTCTAATCTCTCATGAGGTCCAGGATTTCCCCATGCCCAGTCCATCCACCCCAACTTTTGTAGAAATAGGCCACAATCCAGGCTTGGTCCTTACCTCCAACCCTGACTCCATTTCTGAGGTTTAGAGCTTGAAGGGAAAGGAAATAAAAGGAATAAGCATTTATCAAGTATCAAACTCAAATAGAAATGGACTCCTTTAGGTAGCATGTTGACTTAGAATTTAACATTATGTTGTATCTTTATTTTGTGAAACATTTTCCAATTATATTGTAACCTGGTTTAGGCTGCATTCAGGAGTTTTGCAGGCAGCTAGCTCCAATTTTGAGAACTCTGCCCCAAGGGACTTCAGAGTTTGGAAACAGTGTCACATTTACAATTCGAGAACTTGGGTTTGACACTCAGCTCTGCCACCACCCAGTTGTGTGAAAATGTTGATTTACCCTCTCTGCCCCTTGTTTCCACCTCTGAAAAAAAGGGGTTGGACTATATGACCTCCAAGATCCTTTTCATCTTTAAATCTCTAATATAGTCCAATCCAACCCCTCCTTCTATTTATAAAGATGATGAAACTGATGGCCAGAGAGTTTTGGTGACATAGCCATAGTCATATAGGCAATAAACAAAGCCAGGTTGAACTCAGGTTCTCTGACATCAAATCCAAGCATGTTTCCACAATGGTAGTCTCCCTTTTCTTACCTTACTCCAGCCTTCCCCTCACATCCCCTACCCTCACCTCCTGCACTCCCACCTCCTAATCCCAAATTTCTTGGATCCTGGTCATCTAGGCACTGACTCCAACAACCCCATCCATGGCAGTCATGGAATATCTTCAGCTCACACTGAGCCTATTGCCCTTCCAAGACTACCTCCCTCTTCCTATTCTTTTCTCCCTTCGGGCCTCCCAACTTAATCCTCCTGCCAGGCACTGGGGCACAGCCCTTGCTGTTTGTCCTCTCAGTCCACTCCTGGAGGAAGGAGATTGGGGCCCACCTTGGCCTGGAGTGGTGCACAGTGACAGTAAGGGTTTCCTGGCAGGATTTACCCACCAGGGGTGGCTAGATTCCAAGTCAAGCTAGCCCATGTTCTAACTCTAGTTCTAGCCTGACTTACTGAGATTTTGAACAAGCTCCATTTTTACAACGTTCCCCTACTGTCAAGCGAGGCCTTGGATTTGATTGTCCCCAAATTTCTCATCTATGCTAAGTTTTATGACTCAACCAGCTGTTCCCTTGCTGACACTGTGGGTAGTTCTGGGCCCACTTATGGGCTTGGAGAAGGTGAAAGGAGCCTGAAGCAAGTGAAGGGAATGGAAGAGCACCCCTTCTCAGTGCCATCCCCGTCCACTGGGATGACCCCAGGGACAAGAGAAGACTTGTGGGAAGCAGAAGCGTGGGGTTGGGGCACGGGTTAAGTAAGAGGAGGAAGTTCAAGGACTGACCCTACCATATCTGGTTCATTGTCATCAGGAGGAGAGTTCTGGGATGGGGCCTGGGGTCCAGGCATGTCCTGCACCATTGCCCTACTCAGACATCTATGGCAGCCCCAGTCAGAGCCCAGCAGCCAAACCAGAGAAAGAGCAGCTGTCTCCGGCCTTCTCGGCAGAGGGTGAGTAGGGGAAGGATCATGGATTGGCACTTGGGAAAGGGGTTTTCTTCTCAATCCTCAGGCCCAGGGGCCTCCTGGGAAGGACTTTTGGTTTGGTGGGGCAAGGGCTGGGTAAGTAACCTGTCTCTATTCTGCAGACTGCAAGCACTCTGGCAGAACCAGCACAGGAGGGGGTGTCAACAGCAGCCCCAGTGAGGAGCCACGCCTTCCAAAGCGCCGGCCCCCCTCTTCTGGTGAGGAACTACAGATTGTTGGGCACAGGGACCAAGAGAAAGGGGCATTGAAAGCAGATGAAGGGAAAGAACACATGCCGTAGCCTGGTGAAAGACAATGCATCCACTTAGGCATCTGCTCCCCATCCCACCCCCATTCTCCTGACTCTTCTCCTTCTGGTTACTGATGCCTTCCTCATCACCAACTCCATTGTCCTTTTCTCAAGTCTTATTCTCCTTGACTTCTTTGCAGCCAGGCTTTGGGGCACAGCTGTTGACCACATCCTTACCTTTCAGATACTCTCCCCTGCCTGTCTTGGTGACCTTTGCTGGCCCCTCGTCCTTGGAGACATGGAAATACCTGCCATAGATAGAATGATCACAGCCCAAGGGAAGCTCGATCCATATCTCCTCCAGGGGGTCTGTGCATTTGAGGTCTGCAGCCCTGGGCTACTCTCTCAGTTGTGTGATCTTATGTCAGTCACATTCACTTCTCTGGGTCTTAGCTCCCTTCTAGCTCCAAATCCCAGCATTACTTTGGATATTCCTTCCTCTGGCACCTCAGACTCACTGTGTCCAAGATTGGATTTTTGGTCCTTTCCCCCGCAAGCTGTTCATCATCCTGTTATCTGTTGGCAGCATCCCTGTCCTTCCTGGCCTGACACCTCTGATTATCTCCGATTCCTTCTGTTCTCCCACTTATGGACCTCTTGCAAATGACCCTTCCTTTCCATTCATACTGCGCCCCCCCCTAAGAAAAAGCCCTTGTTATCTCTCCCCAGGAGCATCTTAAATTGTCTTTTTGCCTTCAGTGACTCGAGCTTCTGCTATAGAGCTGTCTGGGAGAGTGGAGAAATTAATCTTTCTAAAGCCCAGCCCTGGTCCTGGAATAGTAGGATCTCAGAGCCAGCAGCCTTAGAAGGCATTTAGTCCGGTTTCCACAACCAGGCCAAGAGTCTCATCACCAGCTTTTCTGACAAGTAAAGTCCAGCTGTGCTTGGATGCTTGCAGCCTGGTCTAATGAGCCCTGGCGTAGAGGACAGTCTGGAAGTTTGGGCTCTAGTCTCAGGCCTGCCACTTTCATGATATGTAATACCTTGGACAAGTGACTTGCCTCTCTGAGCCTCAGTTTCTTTTTCTGGTGGAACATGTAGAGACACGGGAGGGACAGTAGAGAATGATTTCTTTCTAAGGTTACTTATGGTTCTGATGTAAAAATTCTGTTTCCAGTGATAAGGCATTCTCTCTCAAGGCAACTCACCATGGGACAACTCCAATTGTAATAAGCCATAAATTCTACTTTCTTAAAACATCCCCCTCTGGTCTTGTCCTTCCTTCTGGACAAAGAATAAGTCTCCTGCCTTCTTCATGATGGCCTTCAGACACTTTGAAGGCAATCATCGGGTGCTGCCTAAACTTTCTCTTTTCCAGGTTAAACACCCCCAGTTTCTTCAACTATGACATCATTTGAAGGCCTTCCTTCTATTCCAGCCACTCTCCTGTCCCATCATCCTTGAGTAAAATCTAAACTTCTCTGGCCAAAGTAGACCTATTCATCCTTCAAGGCAGCTTTCCTGCCTTCCTGATCTTGGTCTTCCCTGCTCCTGTGGGCCTTCTGGCCCTTACTTTTGCTTCTCAGTGGTCCTTAGTACATCCTGCCTGGCATCTGGCTGTTGGCGAGAGATTCCTTTATGTGGTTCTCCTCCCCACCCCTGCAAACGAAGAGAGATGGCACTGTTAGCACCAAAGGTCCTGGGTTCAAATCAGCGTTCTGCTGTTCATCATGACCTTGTATGGTCATTCTGCCTGTATTGCCCCGAGGCTGTGGAGGCTGCACGCTGTACGTGAGCCATCCTTTTATGGTTATTCGTTGTTGAACTTCTTAAGGGCTGGCTCCAGATCAGGGTCAGTTGTATTTCATCTCCTTGGCCCAGGCCTCCCTACTCCCCGACCAGGTAGCCTAGGACTTGGATGAATGGTGGACTGTAGGTGGCAGGATTCAGGCTGAAGTGTGGCTGAAGAGGGGAGACATGACCAGGACCCAGGGATGCTTTGTTTGTCCTAGGGAGACAATTCCCTTGCTCCAGCTACGGCTGCCGCCTGGCTTTCCCCAGCCCCCGGGAACTTGCTCAGCATCTGCACAGTCACTTGCAACCCACACAGTCCATGGAAGGTAAGCCTGGGGATAGGGGAGAATGGGGTGGTATTTCCTTCTCAGGATCCTCTCTGCCAGAGGACCACTCCTTAGCCCTGACATGGCAGCCCTATCTACTGGCACTCCTGGTCTTGGCTCCCAGTGGGAATGGTTCAGAAGCCCACCTATCTGGAGAGCCGTGAGCAAGACAGAATGCTGGATTTGGAGTCTGGAGGATCTGGATTCAAATCCTGGCTCCATAACTACCTTTGTGACCTTGGGCAAGAACCCCTGCAGCTCTCGGGAGCCGCCCTGCCACTCCCACTGCTCGGATGTGTGCTGACCCCAGCAGCATCACCACCCCGGGTCATATTCCTCTGCAGGCAAACTGTTTCACTGCTCAGCCCCAGGCTGTGCAGAGACGTTCCCCAGCATGCAGGAGCTGATGGCCCACACCAAGCTGCACTACAAGCCCAACAGATACTTCAAGTGAGGCCTCTCCCCTTCCCTGTCCTTCTCCCCTCCACCCATTGGTTTTCTCTTGGGTTCTTTGTGATGACCCGACCCCTTCTCATCCACCTCATTGCTCACTCCCAACCCCCCTTTGCCACTCTGTACACCATCAGCTCACCTGGCCTCATCCTTGCTGTCATCAGGCCTGCTCACCCCTCAGTCCAGCCTCTGTCTCCCCCTACCCCAGGTGTGAAAATTGCCTTCTCCGCTTCCGGACTCACCGCTCCCTCTTCAAGCACCTACATGTCTGCTCCGACCAGTCCCACAGCCCGGCCCCACCCCCAGCCCCACTGCCCCCAGCACTGGAGAAGGAGCTGCCTGATGCTCAGAGACCAGCTGGCCCCAGCCCCGACAAGGCCCCGCTGCTCACGCCGCTGACCCTGCCCCCGGATCCTCGTCCCAGGGCCCCATTCCCGCTGCTGGAGGCCTCACTTTACAGCTCTGCTGCATTGCCCTCATACTCCAGCCAAGCCTCAAGCCCTGTACCTGCACCCTTCCTACCCTACCTGGGTCCCTCTCCCTATGGGCTGGCCCCTGGCTCCGGTCCCCAGCGCCTCCGTCCCTTCCTGCCTGCCCAGGCCCAGAGTCTCCCTAGCTCTGGTCCTGGCTCCAGCTCCAACACTAATGCAGCTGTCTGGAAAAAAAATCAGGGTGAGCAGACAGCCCAGATCCAGCCCTTATGTATAATATAAGCAGGGGTTCCTCAATGTCACTACCATGTATTCTCCCCAAGTAAGGACCAGAAGAGGGAGAAGCAGGTAGCAGGTAAGGCTGCAGCGTTACCTCCCCTGATCCTTTCTTTCTCTCCTTCCACAGGTTCCAGCAGTAGCCCACGGAGGCCCCCTGGGAGCTCTGAGGGACCTACAGGTCAGTGGCTTCCCTGGGGCATTGGGTGAGGGAGGAATGACAGAACCAGACCCTTTAAAATGGGAAGGGGACAGAAACCAGCTCTAGGCCCTCCACTTACAGACTCAGAGAACGACTCCAAATTGCTCAACTTTCTTCAGGAAGAAAGTGACCCAAGTTACTTAAAATTTACCCAGATGCAGTCTTAGGATTGTGCAAGCCCCTCCTGTCAGGAGGTCCCAGGAGCACACCCTGAAGGCTTCTCTCCTCCCTGTACCAGGCCATTCTTCTACCAGCCGAATTGTGTGGGAGCACACCAGGGGTCGCTACACCTGCATGCAGTGCCCCTTCTCCACGGCTTCCAGACCCGCCATGACCCTTCATTTGGAGGACCATCGCAAGACTCCACCCCCAGCCCCACCACCACAGCCACCATCACCCTCCACTCCCCCTCAGCTGGAGGCCCAGGGAAGCACAGTCTGGTCACTGGAGCCCACTCCTGGATCATCAAGTGGTCCTCCTTCCCTCATCACTCAGTCACCCAGGGCCCAGGGCCCCCCAGCCTCAGGGGAGGACTGGGATTTCTAAGGCTGGGAAACCAACTCTCCTGCCTCTCCCAGTAGCGTGAGGCCACCCTGTGATGTGGAGTCACTCACTCTTAGGCAGACTTTGCAGGTGGCCTGACTTACTCCCCCCTTCCACCATGGCTACAGAGATGGACCACTCCCTCTACTCTCCACTCTGGGCCCTGGTGACTGCAGGGGGTGGGGAGGTAGAAGACTATTTTTATAATTAACTTAATGTTGCTTTGGAACTTGTGGGTCATCGGGTCCAGTTGTCCTGGCTTGGCCCAGGATCAGCTGGGGGTGGAGATAATAAAACAGTTGTATAGGAGTTGTCTCTTTGAGAATATGGGGCTTCAAGAATCACTGGGTGGGGCCCAGGGGTCCAGTCTGTTTCAAACAAGCCCCTCCACAGGGCCCAGTTCCTAGACTGACTGACCAAGTTGGACTCTTCATAGACTGAATAATTCAGGACATTCCCGAGCCCCACCCCACTTACTATTTGTCTTAGCCGAGATAAAAAATTCCAGTTTTTATTTATTTAAAAAGACCAATAAGAGGGAAGAGGGAGGGGGCTGCAAGGTTTATCCTGAGAAAGTGCCAGAGCCCCTGCCCCTTCAGGGCCCAGGCAGGGCATGGGACACATTTTTCTTGGAAACAAAGATTTAGAAAGAATTCCAACAAATTGTTGCACAAACACCCCTGAAAACGGAGAGAACCTTTGGTCACCGAATCCCCTGGCCAAGCAGTGCCTGTGGAGCCCCTTCTGGAAAAGAACAGACCCCAAAGCCAGCAGTGCCCAGGGCTGGGGGGCAAAGGGCAAGCTGGCAGAGTCCGTCCTCAAGCCGCTGTTGCTCACTGACTGCAGGGCAGCTGGCTCAGTCCTCCTCATCCTCCTCACTGTCATCCCCCTCGTCATCTGCAGCTCGTTTCCTTTTCTCTCCATGCTGGGGCTCTGAAGGCATGGAGGCAAGCCAATGTCAGAGGAAGAAGGAACAGAGCCAAGGGCAGCAGAGAAGAGGGACCCCATCGCTGGCTAGTTAGGGGTATCGGGAATTCAGAGGCACCCTTCCACCCATGGCCTCTAGAATACAGAGGGAGTTCACCAGAGCTGGGGGTGGAGGAAAAACAAAGCAGGAAGGGCCTAGCCCGGCCCAGAGAGTGAGCAAGTGCAGGGGGTGGAGCTGAGCAAAGAGCCTGCCCCACCCTGGTCTACTGAAATTCTTAGATACCTCCCAGGAATCAAGCCCTCAGCAACTTGGAGGGGGCTAGGCAACAATCCCACTCCTAGGTCCCTTAACCCATCCCCCACTAGGGGCGCCTCTAGGATGGAGCCTAGAATCTGGTTCCAAGCAGTCAGGACTCACCTTCTCCCTCTTCCTCTTCATCCTCCTCTCCATCATCATCTTCATCCTCCTCATCATCCTGAAGGATTGGGGGAGAAGACAGGGCAGAGTGAATTCCAGAATGTCAGTGTTTGAGGAGCCAGGAGCTAGTCTGACCCCCTTAGTTACAGATGAGGAAATCAAAGCCAAGAGAGGGGTAAAGACTTGCCCGTGGTCACAAAGGGAAAGGCAGAAACAGAATTCAAATCCAAGTCTTCAGCCCTCCCCCCCTGCCCAGGAATCCCTCTGGACTGCAGTGGGATCCAGTGGAATGAGCCTGGATTTGGAACAGTCTTTGACCAAACCCCAGATCTGGAATGGGGTCCTCTTCTGTCGCAGCTCTCTGAGGAAGGAGGCACCCAGCCTTTACTCTGATCCCCTTCCCAGGGAGGGCCAACGTGGTCCTCACCTCATCCTCCACCCCATCTTCCTCCTCCTCCTCCTCCTCCTCTTCCTCATCTTCTTCTCCATCAACATCTTCATCATCCTCATCCTCATCGTCATCAATTACATCCTCATCAAGCTCCTCCTCTTCCTCTTCCTCCTCCTCTTCATCACCTATCACTGACAACAGAGAGTTCATGACCAAATAACCTGGGCTTCCTGGCCCAAACGGATGGGATGCCTGCCTAGGTGGACTTGGCCACCTGCTGTGCCTTGATTTCCCCATCTATGCAGTGGGGAGGTTCATCCTCACTCACTTGACGGCAAAGCAAAGACCAAAGGAGTGATTAGGGAAAGGGACTGGAAGGAGGTAGGGAAGCTCACCCAAACCCAGACGGGCCCCCTGGACAAATCCTCACCTTCCCCATTCTCCCCACAAACACTGTCCAGGCCCTCCCTCTCAGCCTCAGGGTCAGAGTCCGGAGCCTCCTTGTCATCAGCATCGTAGCCATCGAGGTAGGTAAGCTGGGGCAAGAGGGCAAACACACTCTCCCGGTAGCTCATCAGCATGGTCACATCACATTTGAAAAGGTCTAGGCTCTTGAGGTTCGGCAGCTTCTTCTACAAGAAGCAAGGAGGAGAGCTAGAACCCCAGGCCTTGGTCCCATCCCACCCTAGTCCCAATACTATTTGGGAAGCTTGGCCTATCCAACCCCGGCCAAGGGTGCCCCAGGAGTCTGGAACATTCCAAGAAAACTTTGCTATCTCTGCAGAGTAGGCAAAGAGATCCTCTAGGGGACTTGGGGAAGACAGGGAAGGTCTCCTCAGGCTCGGGCCAGAAAAAGGTCAAGGGCAAGTTTCTATTTGCCTTTTGGTGAAAAATGATTTAGCACCTGCTATGTACAAAAAAAGCCAGTGCTAAGCAACCCTGGGAAAGCAAGAATTGGGGCAAGACCCAATCCTTGCCCTCGGTGAACAGTCAGGCAGCCTCACCAGGGGCTCCAGCGTATTGATGTCCTTGATTTTGTTCCCACTCAGGTTTAACTGGACCAGGCTGGGTGTTCGTTCGGCCAGGACCTCCAGGCCTCCAGAGAGGTGGTTATCACTGAGTTCCAACTGTGGGGCCCAGACAGAACAGGGTGGGGACAGTCAGGGACTCAGACCTTCCATCTCCTCTAGGGAGGGGGCACCTGCCTTCCACCCCCCCCCCCCCCCCCCCCCCATGCTTAGGGTTTCCCAACCCCTGGCATCTCCACCCCCCCAGTGTCTCTTCCCCCATGCCACCTTTCGAAGTCGGGGAAGCTTGGGTAGGTTGGCCAATGACACGAGGTTGATGTCGACCATGCTGAGAAACTCAAGGTTTTCAAATTCTGAAGACAGGCCCCCAATCTTGCCATCATCTGAGAAGCAGTTATCCAAGACTAGATCCTTCACCTGGGGATGAGGAACAGGGCCTCAGTCACCTCCCAAATTTCGAGCCTCCATCCCAACCAGGATCCCTCGCCCCCAGGATGGTCTGGGCCTCAGACCGTCCGAGCCCAACCTCCAGAGCGTCCCCACCAAAGTCCAGACTCACACAAGTCCATCAGCCCGTTCCTGCCCAATTTGGAATATCCATGTCAGTGCTTGAGGTGCCAGGAGCTAGTCTGACCCCCTTATTTATAGATGACGAAATCAAACCCAAGAGAGGGGTAAAGACTTGCCCATGGTCACAAAGGAAGAGGCAGAAACAGAATTCTAGCCCCAGCTCTAAACAGCAAGTAGAAATGGCTTCACACTCCCTCAATGATCCTCCAAACCCCTCAAGTCAGCCCCGTTCTGGTCACCTCCCAAACCCCAGAACAGCCAAGAATGGCTCAGTCACTCCAGGCCCTGGCTCTAACCATCCTTCACTTAGGTCATTCTGGGCTCCTGTCCACACATCCTGGCTCAGCTTAGTCCCTAGGATTCCAGAGAAACCAGGCCCAGGAAGCCTCGGAGCTGGGCTCAGGTCTTTAGAAGGATAGAGCCCAAATTTCTCTCCTCTAATGCCAAGCCCTGAGCCACCTAAAGGAATCCTTCCCCTCTTCAAGCTTTGGACCCTGAACTTGCGACCACTTGTTCCTAAGACCAAAGGCTCAGAATTTCAGAGCTAAAAGACTGTGGGGGGGAGCTGGGGTAAGGTTTACTTTAGGAAAAACTGAGTATGGCCCCTTTCACAGTTCCTCTGAGCTAAGCCCCCGAGTCTTAACAACTCCAGCAACCAGGAGGACCCTCCACCTTCCCCACCTACCAGCCAGGGCCCCACGTGTAGCCCTCTTCCGCTTAAATGCCTCCGTGGTGACTCCGGGAAGCTCTAGCCGGGGTCCTGCCGCCTGCTCCCCACAATCTGCCAGCCCCGATCTCCTAGAACCACCCAGGCCCCCAAAGACCCGTCCCTAAAGACTATGTCCCCAACCTTGGGTACCTACCCAAGGCCCCTTATTTCCAGGCTGTCTGACCCCATGTCCCAGCTCCAGACTTCCTAGCTTAGCGCGTAACTCGGGCCCTAAGCGCCAACACTCGGGATCTCCGAGCGCACGTCCGGACCCCAGACCCCGAGACTTCAACCCCAAAGCCTGGGATCTCCTAGCGCACGTTCGGACCCCGGGCCCCAGGCCTTCAACCCCAAAGTCCGGGGTCTCCCCGCGCTTGTCGGCACCCCGGGCCTTCAACGCCCAAACCTACGATCTCCTAGCGCACATTTGCAGCCCGTACCCCGGGCCCGCCGGCCCTTCAACGCCCAAGCCCGGGATCTCCGAGCGCACGTCTGGGCCGGCCGCCCTCCCAGGCCCCACATCCCGATCCTGCGCACGCAGAGCCCAGGTTCCCGGCCTCCCGGGGCTCATGTGCCGGGCCTTGAAGGCCACGTCCCCGGGTCTCGGCGCCCGCACTCCCCGGCCTCCGTCCCAGGCCCTGGGCGCCCCGGATCTCGGCCGCCCGCACCGCCGGCCTCCGTGCAGGGCCTTGAAGGCCACATCTCCGGGTCTCGGCGCCCCGGGCCCGGACTCGGGCCCCGAGCCGGCCCGCTCTCCCTGGCCCCGGACCCCGCGCGGCTGCCCACGTGCGGCGCCCCCAGCCCCGGGCCCACGTGCTCCGGCCCGCGCGGGCCTCACCTCCCCCGGCTTCCTGTTCCGCAGCTCCAGCGTAACCCGCCTCTTGATGTCCATGGCCGCGCAGCCCGAGCCCAGCCCAGCCAGGGAGCCCCGAGAGCCCCGAGAGCCGCCGCTGCCGGGGAGACCGCCAGGAAGGCGCCAAAGGCACACAAAGGGGCGGGGGGAGGAGATCGCGCCCCCGAGGGCCCCGGAGCGCGTTCCCGGGCGGCCCAGACCGGCCCCCGCGCGCCCCCCGCTGGCCCCGGCCCGCCCTCTGCCGGCCCCGGCCCGCCAACCCCCACCCCCCCCCACGCGCGGCCCCGCCTCTCGCAGCGCGCGGTCCCGCTCCCGCAGCGCCCCCTGCTGGCCCAGGAGCATCCCCCCCACCCCCCCAACAACCCGCCGCTGTGGGCTCCGCCTTTCGCAGCGCCGGAGCTGGTGGCCCGAGGATGACCCCACAGCTCCCTCTGCCGGTCTCATAGCACCAACCTCACCCCTACAAGGCAGCCCCACCTCTCGCAGCGCACGGCCCCGCCCCCAAGGCGCCCTCTGCAGTCCCGGAGCGTCAACATCCCCTCTCCAGGGCGAGGCCTCGCCCCTCCCAGCTCGCGGCCCCGCCAATCCTTGCGCGCCCTGCCTCCTACTGGCCGCGGAGCGTACCCCCGCTTTCAGTTGCGAGTGACCCCAACGAGTTTGAGCTCAGAAAGCCTCCGCCTCCTTCTGACATGACCCGTACGTCCGTGCTGGCCAGGACGCTGGCACGCCCCTTGCCGGTTCAGGAGCGCGGTCTCTCGTGCCGCGGACTGGCGCCCCAGCACGCCCCCTGCCGGTGGAGCCTGCTCCCCCATCCCCGAGAGCTCCGTGCAGCCCCGCCCCGCCCAGCATGTCCCCAAGGGGAACCCAACGGGGCTTCTGGCTCAGAGACGGAGGAGGACGGTCTGCGGCTCATCCCTGCGGTCGTGCCCTTTCCCCACCTCATGACTCAAGTCTGAAACCTCCTGGGCTCCCCTGGGTCCGCAGTGCCCGTCAACTCAGAGGCTGGCAAGAGAACCTGCATTTCTGGCCTCAGGATAGGAACTGGATCAGACTTTTCGTTGGTATAGGGGACTCCCAGGTGAGGAAACTCCATCTACCAATGCAAGTCTGCACCCACTTTGCAAATTAGGCTTAGAGGTTGGCCTAGAGCACTGTGACCTTAAATGCCTTGCTCGGTTGCACAACCAGTATGTTAAGGGTGGCGGGGCTTGAGCCCGGGTCTTCTCTCCTACGTTTTCACCAGCAGCCTTCTTCCTTGCCCCAGTACTCCTGTCCAGCTCCTCTATGTGTCTTTCCCTATTAGAATATAAACCCCTTGAGTGTAGGGGTCATCTTGGTTTCTTGTATTTGTATCCCTAGTACTTAGCGGAGTGTCTGGCACATAGTAGGTGCTTAATAAATGCTCTGTCCGTTGTTCTAGCTATTTATCTACCTACCTGTTCATTATGATATGCTCTTCACCAGCCAGGTGGTCCAGTGGAGAGAATGCTAGACCTGAAATCAGAAATACCTGAGTTCACATGCTGCGTAGGCGGGTCACTTAATATGTTTCCTCATCTGTAAAAATGGAGATGATAATAGCACCTAGGGTTGTTGTGAGGACCAAATTAAATAATATTTATAAAGGCATATATAACATGTTAAGATTTGTGAAGTGCCAGATTCTTGAAGGAAGCTAGGGAAAGCACCAGATAGAGGTAAGTGGCCCTCCTAGCTCCAAGACCAGCAGGGGCACCACACTTCCTCTTCATGACCCTTTCCCTGATCTGGTACTATCCTCTTCCTCTCCTCTTCTGCAGCAGGAGACTGGCCTATGGTTCATGACTGACTGTGGACCCAGGTTTCTTGGTAGTAAGAGAAGCCCCTCTCATGACCATTCATGGTCAGATAAAAGATTGATGGATAATCAATCAATTAAGGAGCATTTATTAAGCACTTACTATGTGCCAGGCATTGTGCTGAGTGAGTTCTATGGAAACAACAACAAAAGTTTACATTCAATCAAAGGAGGCCACACACACCCATACACACACTAATACAAGGTAATTTCCAGGGTGGGAATGAGCCCGCATAGGCAGCTTGAAGGATCAGGAAAAGCCTGATAGTAGGAGATGGTGTTCCTGCTGAAAAAGATAAGTAGGGATTCTAAAAGGCAGACACCAGAGGAAGGAGGGCATTCTAGGCAAGGGGGAGGTTCAGTGACTCACAACATTCTTGATCTTATTTTATTGATTATTTGCTAGCCATAATTAATTTTCATTCATCACACTGTGTCTCAGTTACCTCAACTGTAAAATAAAGATTTTAACAGCATCCACCCTGTAGGGAGGATCAAATAAGATCATATTTGTTAAGCGCTTTGTTTGTAACCCTTAAAAGCTGTATTTCGGGGTAGCTAGGTGGCGTAGTGGATAGAGTGCCAGCCCTGAAGTCAGGAGGACCTGAGTTCAAATCCAGCCTCAGACACATAACACTTACTAGCTGTGTGACCCTGGGCAAGTCACTTAACCCCATTGCCTAGCAAAAAAAAAAAAAAAAAAAAAAGCTGTATTTCAAGGTACTTGCTGGGATGTTTATGGCCAAAAATCCTTGAATCTCCCTAGGAAAACCTGGTCTCCAATGCTCCTGGACCCTGACAATTTCCTTGGGAAGCCTCTGTAGAGTCAACAAGGCCTAGGGCTGGGAGTCAGAAAACTTGATTCTACTTCCAGCTCTGTCACACTGGGCAAATGCCTTCCCCTCTCTGGACCTGTTTCCCTAACTGTGTAATAAGAACATGGGACCCAGTGACCTCTCAGGTCTGACATTTTAAGGTTGTGTAATCCCATCGCCAGGAATCTTATGTGTGGCTACTTTGAGGAAGGAGGATGATCTCAGTTAGGGAAGCTCCACTCAGTCATCAGACCAGTCAGTGGCCATGGGATGGTCCATCCAAAATCAGGCAATGAAGGGAACCTTCTGTGGGTGATTTGGTCAGGGTTTCTTCTAGGACTGGATCCTCAGTGACTCAAGGCTCCACTCTAGTGAGTGGGGAATCCAAGAAGTTTGGATTCAAAGGGCAGCCTCTGAGGACTTAGAGGGCCACATGTGGCCTCAAGGTTGCAGGTTCCCACCCCTGTGCCTAGTTCATCTGCAGTCTCAGACACTCACTAGCTGTGTGACCCTGGGCAAGTCACTTCAACTGTTTCCTCAACTGTAAAATGGGGATAATAACAGCACCTGCCTCCAAGATCAAATGAGATAATATTTATAAAATGCTTAGCACAGTACTCCGCACATAGTTGGTTCTATATAAATGCTTATTCCCTCCCCCTTAGTCCCCACTGTAGAGAAGACTGTGGTGGTCACAACAGTGTCAGCAAAGCCCCACCTCCTACAGGAGACTTCTGATTTCCTCCAGTTGTTATACTTATTTTGTGTATGCTCCCTGTGATGTATGCTGGGCAAATCACTTAGCCCTAGGCAACAGCCTAAGATTGTGAACTGCTCAAGAGTCACAGATCTGCATTGGTAGAGGGAGTTTTATTACCTGGGATTTCCTGCGCTGATTAAATCACAGGTCCAGACAAAATAAGAACTATATACATAAAAAAATAAACTATAAACATACATACTCATTCATTTCTTAAAAATTTACCCAATGGGGACAGCTAGATGGTGCAGTGGATAGAGCTCTGGCTTTGGAGTCAGGAGGACCTGAGTTCGAATTTGGCCTCAGACACTTGACACTTAGTAGCTGTGTGACCCTGGGCAAGTTACTTAACCCCGATTGCCTCAGAAAAAAAAAAATTTATTCAATGATTGCAACAGGGTGTGACATACCTGTCTGCTAATTCCAGGGTCCTAGAGGACAGGCACTATTTAATTGTCTAACTGTATTTCCTACACCAGGCACACAGTAAGTGCTTAATGAAAACTTATAGAATGAACTGAATGAATGAATGTGATAACACTGAGAGGATCAGAAGATATTTAGGGAACTTACAAATATATAAAACTGATTCATTCTCCAATGAAGAAGTGCTCAAAGAATGTGGACAAACAATTCTCAAAAGAAGAATTACAAATTGTAAACAACCATATGAAAGACTGCTCCAAATCACTTATGATAAGAGAAATGCAAATCAAAACAACTCTGAAATTTTACCTTATACCCTGCAAGTTGGCGAAGATCATAAAAGATGATGTAGACCTATCCCCAAATCATTTTGAACCTTCAAGACCTAAGAAAGGCCTAAAACCTGGATTGGCCAATCAGGAGAGACATCTTGGCCCACTCTGGGCTTAACCTACCATAACCCTTTTTGTGCTTTGGCATAACAGACATGCTTTGCTTTGCACTCTGAGTGAACTCAAAATGCCCCTCCCTGTATCAACAACTACAGGGCCAGATGAGGCTGACCAGGAACATTCTTCTTTTTGTGACCACTAGGGACAGGATGCCTAGGACTGGACACTGTCTTGAATAATGGGACTTTTCTTATCTTGGTATTTTATGGACATATGCTATATTATGTCATGTTAATAGCAAAAGAAACACACACACATCCTGGATCTATAATTTCAATTGACACTTTGACATTCTCCTATCTTATTGTATTTACAGTCTATCCACTTAAGAAATTCCTTTCTCATATCATGGTTAACACATTTGGAGACTATAATTTCAGCGGACATAGGCATCCTGAGCAAGGGAGGGAGGAAGGGGTGAGAGGGAATTTCTCTGAAGATAGAAGGTCTGCTTTGTCTGTCCATCCTTGGGCTCATTTGCACAATGAGCTCCCGTGCATATCTATAGATCTATAAGCATGTTCTGCAAACTTTGAGAGAAATAAACATACACATGCAGCTTAATTTTGTTTGTCTTCCTAAGAATGAACTCAGTAACGGTTGACAATGGGAATGGTCAATGTGACAGAGGTTTTGGAAGGAAGTACACTTATACCCTATTGGTGGAGCACTGAATTGGTCAAACTTCCAGCAAAAACAATTTGAATTATGCTTAAAAAAAAAATAAAGTCACTAGCTATTCTCAACAATACAAAGATCCAAGACAACTTTGAAGGACTTATGATGAAAAATGCTATCCAGACAAAGAACTGATGGTATCTGAATACAGATTGAAGCATACTATTTTTTACTTTATTTTTCTTGAGCTTTTTTTTTATGTTTTCTTTTATAACATGACTATTATGGTTATATTTTGCATACACATATATAACCTATATTGAATTGTTTGCCTTCTCAATGGGGGTGGGGGCTTGGGAAGGGAGGAAAAGAGAGAATTTGAAACTCAAAAGTTTTAAAAACAAATGCTGAAAATTGTTTTCACATGTAACTGGGGAAAAATAAAACACTAAATAAACAATTTAAAACAAATAAAGTCACTGACCTGTTCATAACTTTTGAACCAGAGTTCCCACTGGTAGGCAGAGATATACCCCAAAGAGGTCAAAGGTAGAAAGAAAGGCCCCTTAAGCATCAACATATTTACAGCAGTTCTTCACATAGTATGAAAGAAGTGGAAACAAAAGATCTAGTGATTGGGAGGATGGATAAACTAATTGCAATGGAATGTTAGCATACTGTAAGAAATGATCATTTCAGGGATGCACGGGAAAACTTATACGAAGTTCACTGTTGCAAAATGAAGGAGAAGCAGGAAAACAACATACACAAAAATTTCAACAGTGTAAATGAAAGAATGTTGACAATGACAAAAATGAAACTCAGTAGTATGTAATTATAAGGACAAAGATCTGTCGAAAAATATATCTTGCATTTTTGCAGAGGTGGAGGAATATGGGTACAGAAAACTGCATACGTTGTCAGTCTTGATTGATGTGTTGGTTAATTTTGCTGAATTGCTTTTGTTTCTTGCTTTTTCAAAATTCTTTGTAACAAGGAGGTGGTTCATTTGTTGATGATGGGGTAGGGGTAATATTTACAAATGAAGGTGATACAAAGATATAAAATTTTTAGAAAAGATAAACATATATATACACATATACATAAAATATTCTTAAGAGCTCTTTTTGTGGTAGCAAAGAATTAGAAACAAAATATCACTTGAGGAATGACTAAGCAGATGGTGGTACATGAATGCCAGGAAATATTAATTCCTATGCCATAAGAAGTGATGACTATGAAGAATTCAGAGAAGCATAGAAAGACTTACGTGAACTGATTCGAAGTGAAGTGAGCAGAACCAGGAAAACTATACACAATGACTATAACAATGTAAATGGAAAGGGCAAAAAATGAAACTGAATATTATGTAATTAAAATGACCAAGTTTGACCCTGGAGAGTAGATGAGAAAATGCACCTTCCTACATTCTTTGCCTAGGTGAAGGACTACAGCTGTGAAACATCGTATATACTGTCAGATTCTTTGGGAATGAGAGTTAGTTTTGTTGAACCACTTTTTTTCCTCTTTTTTTTTCATTTTTTTGTTACGAGGGATGGCTGGCTGAGTTGGGGGTAAGGGGAAGGATATATTTGGAAATGAAGGTAATATAAGAACAAAAGATATTAATAAAAATTAATTTTTTTAAAAAGAATGGGTGGTGGATTCAGTAAGCACAGGGAGAATATTCAGACGGTTTTACTCTTCCAACTCTCTTCCACTCCTTACACAATTCTGTCCTTAGACATATCCCATAAAGAAGCCTCTCCCTCCAAAAAAAAGAAAAAGGTCACTCACCAGCCTCCTATGATAACCTTGGGAGACTATCTTTTAAGAATAGCCTGAACTCTCTGCACTTACTCTAAATTTGTTCAGTCATCTCAAGCTACTGGGTCTAATATCTATGGATCTGAGAGTTTGCAGCATTCCTGGGTCAGTCTGAAGCTTGAGTCCTATAGATCCTCAGGTCAATAAGTCATAGGGTAAGTAGGTCAGGGTTTGAAGATTAGCAGGTTCGAGGGGTTTTGGGTCAAGGGTTCCTTAGACCAGTGGGTCCGTGGGTAGGAAGGTTCTCAGGTAGACAGGTCAGTGATTCATTAGGTCAGTGCTATATACCTAGTTTCATTTTCTCTCATGAATTTCAGATCCAACTGCATCTCTAACTGCCTGCTGGACGTCACCACCCAGAGGTCCTACCAGCCATTCAAATTTAGTAGGACTCAAATTGAACTTAGCCTCTCTTTTCTCAAATCTTTGTTATCACCAGCATTTGGTATAATATCTTGTACATATAGTTATCCCTTTCACTTTGTGACTTTCCCCACTGCAGTTTTGACATATTGTGGGTTGGCATAAGAAATTAAATGGGAATTTTTGGAGAGTTACATGGAAGCCACAGATGACATGTCAAGGCCAGCAAGACAACAACAGAAAAAGTTTAGAAACTCAGAAATTGGGACAGCCAGGTGGCAAAGTGGATAGAGCACCGGCCCTAAAGTCAGGAGGACCTGAGTTCAAATCTGGCCTCAGACCAAACACTTGACACTTACAAGCTGTGTAACCCTGGGCAAGTCACTTAACCCCAATTGCCTAAAACAAACAAATAAAAAAAACCCTCAGAAATGAATAAAATGTATGGTATTGTGTACTATCAACCCAAATTTTACAGAAAACACCCCATAAAAGAAAACGAAAAAATTCTTCTTCTTCTCTGGTATGAGGGGAGAGCCAAAAATATTTCACTTGGATTTTCCAGATCGAAGGGGCACTGTACCCCTAACCCCCTCGATATGGAAGGGATAACTGTAGTAGTACTTAATAAATGTCAACTGAATTGAAGTTTAGTCAGTCCATTCATTCAGGCCATTGGGTCAGGGGATGAAGGTCAGTAGACCCTCTGGTAGATGGGTCTGAAGGTGAGACTCAAGGTTCAACAGGTCTCTCAGGTCAGTAGACACTTGACCCTATCTAATGATGGCCTCCAGGACTCAGAACACTGGTCTTTCCCTTCAGCCATCAGTTAAGAGTAGAGGCACCCAGACTCAGGCTCAGCTCTTATTCTAAGACTCTATGTTAGAAAAGCCCAGAAAAATAAAAACACATTCACCCACATACAGATTATAACCACATCTGGCTCAGGAAAGAAGTTATTTAGAGCCGAGAGAAATCACCTTGAACTAGAATGGTCCGGGAGTGGTTCCTAGAAAAGGCAGCATTGCAGCCATGCCTTGAAGTCAGGGGAGCACCTACAGAGATCAAGAAGGGCCCCATTGTCCCCACCCCCTCCAACCTCCTGGTCTCTCCTCCTTTCCTTCCTCCTCCCTCCCCCCACTCCAACACATATCATCATTTGGGTGTCTGGGTTTTACTTCCTGGAAGTAGCCCCAGCCATTTCTGCAACCCCCTAGACCCTGGCAGGTCCCAGAAACCAGGAGAGCATCTCAATCCACAGGCCACTGGACCAAAGAAGCTGGAGAGTCATGGTAAGTAACCCTTTCTCTACCTCCCTCCCTGTCATCCCCCTATTCTCACTCCCAGGGATGTACGAAGAAAGCAGAAGTAGAAAATCCAGCCCCTACAACCTCCTTCTATTCCTTTTGGCTCAGGAGGACCCGAGAGGTTCTTGGCCCTATGTGTGAGTTGAGGGAGGGGAGTCAGGACTCCTTTGCAGGAGGCAAAGGATGCAATATAGCAAAGCGGAGGGGAGGAAAGAGACCATCAAGGCTGGGAACACAAGCTATATGGGGGAAAGAGATGAAGTTCAAGAAGTGGACTGAGACTGAGACAGTGTGCATCTTAAAAGGCAGGCAAAGGAGTTTGGGTTTTATCTTCCAAGTAACCAGGGCCACTGTGGGGTAGAAGTCAGTGTGGCACCATGGGAAGACTTGGATTCAGGAACACCTGGTGTAAGTCCTACCTCTAACATTTCCTAACTCGGTACTTTTGGACAAGACATCTAACCACTCTCAGCCTCATCTGTAAAATGGGGGGGAGACTCTGTGCAATACTGACCTTAGGTAGTTGATTGTGAAGGTCAAATAAGGCAAGGTAAAGAAGCTTAATGGACCTTGATGGACAATCTGCTGTTGTCGTTATCACTGGGGGCCCAGCCTTACCTGGTACCGATCCAGGCACAGACAACAGAGGCTGACTCTAGGCCCCCATGGGCTTGCCCAGTCCCTGAGATGAATCTTGTCCCTCGGCCCAGGCCCATTTTACCTTGGCTCCCATCCAAGATGGCAGGCCCCTTCTGTTGAGCTTCCCCAGGATAGACTGGTAGAATCAGTCACTGGACTCAAAGGGTTTGTTTTCATAGAAGGCTCTGCTCACTTCTCACCCAGCCCTTTCCATATCTCCCTGCTTTTCCTTCTCCTCTGCCTACCCCCACCTCCACCCCCACTGGTGTCCTAATTCACTTTCTTTAATGCCATAGTGATCTAAGGCAGCCCTAGTTCAATCCAACATGGAACTTGGGCTATGGGCTATATTAGTAGCACATCATAGCTACCCTGGTGGGGAACAGGGACAATATCTGGAGGGGGTGGGGAGGAAATATGGGGCCATGGTGGGGCGGGGGAGTGTGGGAAGGGGGAGAATGATAGTTAAAGCTTAGGGGGAGGGCCTGGGTGATGGTGACCTGAAAACTGAGTTCCAAGGGGGTGGGGGCTTCCTGTGGGCCCCAGGGGTGCTGACTGCTGGGCAAAGTAGGTCAGAAGGACTTGTCCCTATTTATGGGGCTGAGATGGGGTAGGGCAATATTTGTGACAACTCTGAAGATGGCGTTTTGGTTTTCAACCCCCCCTTTAGTTCAGGGGAGGGGAGTGCAAGTAAATGTTTAACAATCAGCTATGGGGGGGGATATAAGCACGACACTTAAAAATTTAGTCTCCATTATTAACATTTTCTGCATCACTTCCATAAATTTAGACAATTAATAAAACAATATATCAAGCCCTGATCTGTAACAGCATTTGTTGATTTCTGAAGTATAAATGTTAACACTGAAAACTGTTCCATTACATCCTGTGAGGCCTTTCACCATGTTCCTGAGAAGTTTATGGCTCAGTTCCTTCCCTCTATAAAGGGGCTCTCTCTCTCTCTCAACTCCACAAACTCATTTAAAAAAAAAAACCTTTTTAAAATGAGAATCTTATTGGTATATTTCGTTTTTACATTGCCCAGATTTCCCCCTGTATTTCACTCCCATCCTCCTCCCAGAGAGCCCCCTCTTATAACAAAGAATTTTGTGTGTGTGTGTGTGTGTGTGTGTGTGTGTGTGTGTGTGTGTGTGTGGCGTGGGAGGTATGGACGTAATTTCTCGTATCTCTTCTTTGGGGCCAAGTTCATTCTTCATGATTTCACAACATTCTTATTAGATTGCTTTGTGAAGGCCGTTCTTGTAAATGGTGTTTTCCTGGCTCCTTCAATGAGCACTATCAACTCATAGATCTTTCTGTACTCTGTCTTCATCCTATTTCTTGCCTCTTACAGCCGTCATATTCCTATATTCATGTACCACCATTTGTCTAGCTATCTTCCTGTAGACCCAGCTAAGTTGTTTCCACTTCTGTGCTACCACAAAAAGTGCTATCAATATTCTCATATTCATGGAGCTTCTCTTTGTATCAATGACCTCTTGGGGACATATGCCTAGCAACGGAATTTCTGGATCAACCCAGTGGCTCACTTTCTTACAGACCTTTGGACAAAGGGCAGGAATCTGGATACCATCCAGGACTTCTAACAGAATTGGGGAACCTGAGCAATGGTATATGTGTGTGTGTTTATTGCTCTGTGTGTCTATATGCATGTTCATATCTCTGACCCACCTCTGCCTGTCTGCTTATAGATAAGCAGATTTTGGCCTGACAGCAGAATAAAAAAATTTTTTTTTCTAACGATCAGAATTGTCCAAAAGTAGAGTGGTCCCCAGGGTGCTGTCAAGTAGTGAGTTTCCTCATCCTTTAGAAGTTTTTGGGAAGCAGCTGGCAGGAATATTGTTAGACAGGACTCCTGTTCATACACAGGTTAGATTAGAAGTTCTCTGAAGTCTAATCTATCTCTGAATTCTGAGATTCAGTGATGCTTTCTGTTGCACAGGACAGTCATCAGGACTTTAAGAGCCTTAAAGCTAAGTTTCAGGGCCTGCAGGCTGGGTTTGGTGAGCTACCCAAGAAGCCACCACTGCCCAAGAGCTCTCAGCTGCCAGGCTTGGGTCGAGCCAATACCATTTCTGAGAGTTCCTCTCCTTCTGGGGCTCCTGCTGCGAACCAGAGGGGACCTTCATGGCAAGGACAAGGGGCCCCACCTAGCCCTTGGCTCCCAAACCTAGGGAGAGGCTTTCAAGCCAAACCCAGGACCAGGGAGGCTCCCAGAGACCAGCAGCCACCATGGAGAGCTGCAGGGAATGCTGGAGAGAAGGCATCTTCACCTCCAAGCCTCATCCCCTTGGGCTCCCCAAGGACTCCTAGGAAGGAGCAGAGTCTGAGTGTCCCCCGCAGGAGACCTCTGCCAGCTCTTAAGACTCTTGGTCTCCAGCCTTCCAAGCCCCCCCTTCCACCAGGAAACTTGCACTTAGAACGTTTCAGGAGAAAGGAGGCCACCCACAGAAGGGCTACAGGTAGGTGTTCAGATCATGTCAAGAAAGTTTTGAGAAGGGTGGAAGTCTCTGGATTATGGTGGCCTGGGGAGAGTGACACTCAGATTTTGGACCTAGGATTACAGCTCCAATGTGACCAGGACCCAGTTGTTCTGGTATTTGAGAAACTGACTTGTCCATGGGGTTAGTATTGAGGTTGATATTCAAACCCAGTTTTTCCTAGAGGAATTTCAGTTAGCTGTGAGGAAAAAAAATTTCAAATCTTCATAAATAAGTCATTATTGTGTAATGTGCATAGCTCCAGTGGGTGGGCAAATGGGCTCAGACCCTCCTGAAAGCCCTCAATTGTCCTGGTATAACTGTATCCAGGCAAGAAAACCATCTTGGGTGGGGGGACCCAAGTGACAGCACTTCAGAAGCCAGGATCCTTCTCCAGTGGCAACTGCCTGAGCCCTCCAGTTCCTCCTATCCCACAGTAAGTCTGGGGACTTGGGAAGGGTTGGGAAGGGCACTGTGAGGAGGCTGTGGGAAGGCCCTATAGAATGTGGCAGGAAGCCCTAATCCCTACTCTCCCCTCAGGGATCCAGATGAGATCTATGACGATGTGGAGCCAACTCCCTGCCCACCAGGCCCCAAGAGGAGAGGTGTGTATCCATGAGGGAAGTGGAGCATGACATGTAAATTTCAGGAAAGGTGGTGTGGACTTCCCAGTCTATAGTCCTTTCCAGGAGATTAGCTCACTTTGGAACACTTCCCTTTCAATGAGTGGTACTACGTATGGTTGGTCTCCATTTTACAAGCAAGGAAACTGATGGCCCAGACTGGGAAGTGAAGTCAGGGGCTGGAGATGAGGGTCCTAGAGAGGTGAGCTTTAGCTGGCTATCTCCTCTGTGCATGCCCAAGGCCAAGTCCCTTTAACCTAGCTGGGCTGCTTAACTGATGGAGTCTGAGCCTGCGGTCTGGGAACAAAAATCTTGGCCGTGGGTTCTCAAACTTTCTGGTCTCTTAAAAATTATTGAGGACTCCCCCTAAAGAGCTTTTGTTTATGTGGGCTATAGCTATCGATAATTACTGTATTAGAAATTAAAACTGATAAAATTTGAGAATATTTGAGTTCATTTCATAACAATAAACTCATTTCATACAGGAATATAAAGAATATTTTAAATGAAAATAACCATTTTTAAAAACAAAAACATCAGTGAGAATAGCATTGTTTTACATATTTTTGCAAATTGTTTTAATGTTTGGTTTAACAGAAAATAGCTGGATTCTCCCCTCCATTTCTTTGTTCACTCAGCTACAACGTTATTCTGGTTGAAGTTAAGAAAATCCAGCTTCAAAGAGATATATAGTTGGAAAAGGAAGGTATATTTTAGGAGGCAAATAATGCCTTGGAATCATGAAAATAATTTTAACCTCATGAACTTCCCTGAAAGGGTCCCACCCAGTCTTCTCCCATTTTCATCTCTTCTCTTCTTGGGATCTCAGGAACCCACTAAGTTATTCAGGGAGTATCAGGGTTTGAGTTTCCATTCACCACTTACTGTGTGACCCTGGGTAAGCTGCTTTCCTTTTCTGAGTCCCAGTTCACTTTGCTATAAAATGAGCTCAAAGTTGGAATTTGAACCTAGGTCCCCTGACTCCAAAATCAGCACCCTTTCACCTCTGCAATATCGCCTCTTGCAGAGAAAGTCAAGGGAGATGATGTACAAAAGTCCTTACTAATCCTAATGCTTTCTATAAAGCTCTGGGGACCCATTTGGAGGTTCCAATACTGCCCTGTGATTCCTCTTTTATTTCCACTCTATTCCTCACTTGACCCTCTGAGGTTTGTTGTCTTAGGGGCAAGTGGCTTATCCTTGGGTTTCCTCATTGCCCTTCTGACACACATACGCCCTTCCCCCAGTTACAAGTGACTCCTCCTGCAACAGTTTTCAACTGCTGCTCTCAGTTAAGTGCAGCAGTCAGCATTCTAAAGGAGTGTTTTCGACCATTGGGGTGTTAATGTGGAAGCTGGAAAAACAACCTTCCAGGTGGCCCAGGGTATTCTTGCACATGGTCAGGGTTTGGATAAGGCAACCTTGTATATCCTTTCCAGGTCTCAGATGTGTTGACCCTTAAGCAAACCCAAAATAGGGCTGCTTCTCAGACTGGTTTTTGCCTTTCCTGGCCTTTTCCTGAGGTCCTCAGCGAAGGTTGCAACATCTCCTCGTTAGCACACAGTTGACCACAGAGGATCTTTCTTCCTACCACTGCTTCTCCTGTGTTTACAGGCAAAGGTTGCAGAATTAAGGATCTCCATCTGCGGATCCCCCTTCCCAAGTGGCTGAACTCTTGGTTGGGGATGCTCTAGGGAGGGATAATCAGTGGATGTCTTTCCAAGCCTGGAAGGTACCTAGCCTTCTTGCCTGATTGCATCAGGTCTCATCATTCTTGCCCCTAACTCAGCCACCTTCTGTCCTTAGTGAATCCCCCACCACCACACTTGCATGGTGGAGACTTGAAATGGATTTAGCCCTAGACGAAGAAAGGAAGGTCTGGTTCTCCTCCATTTGTTGTTTGGTAGGGTCTGAATCTTTACGACCCTAAGGACCATCATCACCTGACAGGCCCTCAACCTGAAGGTATCATCTTCTTATGTCTTGTAGTATCTTAATACTAACGATGGGGTTTCCTTGGCAAAGATACTGGAGTGGTTTGCCATTTCCTTCTCCAGTGGATCACCTTTTATCAGTACTCTCTACTATGACCTTTCCCTCTTAGGTAACCCTGCATGGGATAGCTCAGTTTCATTGAGCTATGCAAACCCCTCTGCTGTGACAAGGCAGTGATCCAGGAGGGTTTTGTCTCATTCATAGGCTCCCCCTATTTGATTTCCAAGTCAGTTCTGGGAACCTCATTCACTGCCCCATAAATCTCCTCTGGCTTCCCTATGGCTATCTTGTTAGGAGCTGGATGCCAAGACCCACAGTAAGAGCTCTGTATGTCCATCTCTCTTGTAGCTTTTGGCCAGCTCTAAAACACTGATCAGTATCAACTCAGTGACCTCTGAGCATTCCTTCAACTGTTCCTTCAGGGGCAAATTTGAGGCCCTTTATCTCCCTCTTTCTGTTAGGAAGCAGCTGCTCCTCAACCCCCACTGAACTTTCCCAAATTCAGTTGTCCAAATGGAGAACAGTCTTCAGACACTGCCTGAATGGTCTCTGCCTAAATGTTTGGTCTGCCAGGAATTCCAACAGTAGAAAAGGTCTGAGTCATTTTTTTTTTTTTGTAGGCATTTGAGGTTAAGTAACTTGCCCAAGGTCACACAGCTAGTAAATGTCCAGTGTTTGGTCTGAGGCCGGATTTGAACTCAGGTCCTCCTGACTTCGGGGCCAGTGCTCTATCCACTGTGCCACCTAGCTGCCTCAGTCTGAGTCATTTTACAAAGAAAGTAACTGACGCCCAGGAAAGTTGAGTGATTTGCCCAATGTAGCAGTCAGGACTGGAACTCCAGTATCAGACCTTATGCTCTGAACTGCACCTAGCAATTGTTCAGTCTTCTTCTTTCAAGTTTGATTGTACATTCTCTGTGTCAGTCAACTGTGCTAAGGTTGAGATGGAGTCCTCAATTTAAATTCCAAATGGGGGGGGGTGTCTTTGTCTTAGCCCCAGGGCTCAGTTCTAGTCAGCTTGCAGATCTTGGGGAGAGGTGAGGAGGGAAGGCCCACTGCATTGTCCATCTCACCAATGGCTCCCTGCCAGCTGCTACCTTCCGACGGATTGGTATGTTGTGATGGAAAGAGAACTAGACTTTAAATCACCATGAGTCTCAGCAACAATGCTATGTTATTTGACCTCAGAGTGCCTCTTTCGTCATCTATAACATGGGGATATTACTACACGCACTACTTCCCCCTCATGCTTTCTTGTTGTGAAATGCTTTGTAAACTTTCAGACACTGTTTAAAAATGAATTATTCCTTGCTTTACTCTGCCCTCCTACTCACACACACACATGTGCACACACACTCATTCTACCTCTTAACCTGTTACCACAATAGCAATACAGCATAGTTGTCCAGAAGGGCAAAAATAATTTCACTGTAGGTGGTGAGAGTAAGAGTGATTTGAACAAATTTGGTAATAACATTTGTGAAGGATAAATCAGATTCCAGCTTCAGAATTCATTTTCTTAGGTCTTGGGTCTCCAAGCCCCCAAACTATTTCTGGCTTTGGGTACCCTCAACCTGATTCCCTGAGCTTGCCTTCCCACAACTACCCAGGAAAAGTACCTTTTGAATCTGAGGTTATGCATGCCTCTGCACCTGAATTCCATCTACTATATCCCATTCCTGCGGTCATTAAAGGTGGCTTGACGACCACTTGCATGCATGCACCCCATTACCTCCTAAGGCAGTTCATTCTACTTTTGGACCACTCTTGCCTCCCACAGCTTCCACCCACAGTTGCCATTCCATCTTCTGATGCCAAAGGGTCTCACCCTTCTTCTACCATGACAGTCCTGCTAATACTTACAGACAACCACCAGGTCCTTGCTTAGCTTCTCCTATCTAGTTCTTCCAGGTTCACAGATGGTCAAGTCTCCAGTTTGCTCCTTCTGGTCCCTCTCCAGCTCAGTTTCTCTGTATGTGGTTCTCTCAGAGAAAGGCAGTCTGGCAGGACTACCAAAATGCAATCCAGCCAGCCCTCTTCTCATTTAAAATTTCAGGGTCTGGCTCACTATCCATATCCAGCATCCGTCTCTAAAGATACATGTATCGACAGATTAACCCGGGAGGTTGCCGATCCACTTTCAAGTCATCGGTTTATATGCTGTCTTCGTTCTCTCATTTCCTCCACATTCTCTCTCCTGATTCACTGCACCTCTCCCTCATAAGGCTCCGCCCTAGTGTTCCAGAGGAGGATGTGGATGTGAGCAGCAGTATCCTCCACAAATAGGACTGCGTCTTAAAGGATCCTTATCACCTACAGAGAATCTCTCATTTGAGTCTGTGCAGGGCATCCTCCATGACTTAGCTACAGACCTTTGGCAAGCTAGTCTCATTTTTAATTTGCTCCCTCCAGCCAGACATATCACTCAGATGTGTTATTTTACTGTTCTTTAATCCCAGAATCATCATGCCTTTCCTATCAAAGTTATTGAGCCTCCCTAGTTTGATTATAAATGACTCTGTTGTTACAGCATTAAACTTGTAGATATCACATAGTCAAGTTCTAATATTGGGGGAAAACTATTGTGGAGAACCAAGAGTTGGAGGGATGGTGAGAACACCTTGGTCCCCTTTGCCAGCCTAGCTGTTTGGCTTCCTCAGATGACCTACTGGTTGCAGAAAGAACTCTCAAAGATTTCCAACAACCTGGCCTGCCACTGTGGTAACTCAGGGTTTGGGGTGCAGGGAAGGGTTCTGAAAACTGAAAAGGGAGCCTGGGGATGAGGGGGCAAGGCATCTGTATCCTGTTACAGTTATGAATGTAACTATCTATCTTCAGGAACAGCTGGAAAGCCTCTGAAGAGGGTAAGCCAGAGAAAATCCAACCCCTGATGCCTACAAAGCCCCTGAAGCAGTACAAGAAGGAGGAGAAAGCAGAAAGGGAATTCAGGAAGAAATTTAAGGTCAGGAGAAAACTATTCTGTCCCATCACCCTCTTCTCAGTCCAATCTGGCCCAAGGACAAACCGGACCTGGTGAGGTTTTAGGATCTGGGGATGATTTATCAGAGTAGCTGTAATTACAGTACATTGGCTTTTATATTAGACTTTTAGGGATCCTACAAATATCTGGATGAATAACTTGGGTCAAAAGAAAGTCCCAGGTAAGTGACTGAAACTACACTACCCTTATTTGCTCTAGTTTGAAGGGGACATCATGACTTTAACAAGGATGATGATTGATCCCAACGCCAACACCCGTCGTGGGGGTGGTAGAAACTTGGCTATTAGACGTGGGGAGATCCTGGATGTGATCCAGTTCACCAGCAGAGAACAGATTCTATGCCGGGATGTCAGTGGAAAATGTGAGTTGGTTAGTATACTCTGGAAATGGGTGGGGCATTTGTCCCTGTAATCACATTAAGCTCCTCCATTCCCTTTTTGCAGATGGCTTCGTCCCTCGAACAGCTCTACTCCCCCTGTAAGTGACCAAGTTGAGGACATGTGGGCAAAAGTGTGGGTGACTGGAAGGCTTAGAGCCTTCTATCCTCAAATCTATTTAGAGATAGGCTGGCATTGTCAATTACTTATGGTTCATTCTCTCTTTGACAGGGAGACTGAGGTATATGATGACGTGCGTTTCTAAGGTAGGTACCTGTTGTGCTATATACACCCACCAGGCTTTCTTCTGACATGCAGTTCTATATCATCTGTGGGGGAAAAGTAGCACAAGTTCCCAAGGCTGGGCCAGTGTCCCACTAGCCCAGCTGTTCTCTTGGAGTAGCAAGGGAGATTGGTAAGGAGGTGACTCCAATCCAGCCCCCATCTCCCAAGGGAAATTTAGGATGAGAAGCAACTGGAACCACTGACCTACCTGAAGGGCTACAGAGCACCCATCTTCCTTTGCAGAGCATCCTTGGACCAGGCAATCTCCTCCTCCGTGGTGGGTCCAGAGAAAACTACAAGTTTCTCCATATATGTAACCCATTGGCTTGTATAGTTCTCATGCATGAGCACTGACTGTATTAAATCACCACCTCAAGTGGCTCTCTGCTTGACTGCTTCCTTTCTTCTGTGTCCCCATCTCCTGTACCCTCCCTTTAAGGAGATGTGGAAGGGAGAGATTTGGGTGAGAAGAAAGGGGGAAAGCAAGGGAGAATGAACTTTTATACTCCAGAGGGCTATCTCACTCACACTTTCTTGTGTAGAAGCAAACAGCAACTAATACATCTAATTTGGTTTAATAAGTTTTTAGAAGCCAAGCTCTGGGCTGGACATTCAGTTCAAAGGAATGTTGGGACATATAATAATACAATTATTTTGGTCTATCAAAAGAAAGCTTAGCCAAGGCCAAGAAAGAGGGAGATGCTGACTTCTTGAAGAATCAGCCCAAGGGGAATAGTATATAAAATAAATTGGTTGTGCAGACCTAGAGAGAGGTATCCCTACTAGGGGAAATTAGTTACAGCTATCTACAAACTTTGGCCAGCATCTGACCTACTGGTCAAACACCTCATTGAACTTTTTGCCTTTTACAGCCATTGCTGCTCTGAGGAAGGAGTTTGAGTGTAGAAGGCAAGTGGCACGTCTAAAAATCTAACGCTCAAATCCTCAGTACTAACAGAAAAAGTTGAGAACTAGTCACCACGAAGGGGAGAGGTGGAAGATGGGAGTCCTATCAGGAAGGAGACCTTCAAAAATTTGGGCAATGATAATGATCACGACACTCTATTTCTCTCTTTAATGATCTAACAATTCCGTCCAGCTCAAGCAGGTTATGAATTAAAAATCATTCAATACTAACAAAGACAGATATTCAGAATATAATGAACATTTCCAACAGACTTCACAACAAGGTTAAGAGGCTTTCAGTAACTGGTATTTATTATCAAAGTCGTAATGTCAACAAGATGCCACAACTACAAAAAAAATTGCGTACATTGCAATCTCAATGCAAACAGTCAAATGGAATCCCAGTCTTTAAAAAAGTAATTAAAATCACCCCAGAAAGCAACTGAATTTTAACATCTTTATACATCCAGCCAACAAATTAAAATGGTTAACAAGGAAAACAAAATACAAATTTGGAAGTCTGGTATTGATGTTAAAAAAAGGCAACTGCTTAAGCATTTCTATCAATTCGCACATCAATCTCTCTGCCACTGAGTTTTATCCCATTCATCATCCGGCAGGCTCTCTCTGCCACCTCTGGGGACTCAAACTTAACCACGCCACAACCCTTGGATTTGCCGTTCTCCATCTTGATGTCTGCATACAACACATGGCCTGAAGAGAGGAGGAGAAAAGACCAAACCAGATCAGGCCACCAGACCCATGACAAAGTCCCATGTTCTCAGCTTTCTGAGGGTCAAAGGCTACCACCTCCACTCAGTCCAGAACATTTGCTGGATTCTGGGATTATTAATCACACAGAAATAATTCCTTTTGAATTCTGCCACACTGATAAATACTCAGAATACATACACTTAAAAATATAAGTGTTTTCTGTAGCTGACCTGTTATTCCTCTCCTAAGATGTCTATAATATTTGTAAACCCATCAAAAAGCTGGCTAACATCTATATTGTTCTTTAGGTTTCAGAAAATGTCATGTAACACCTAATACTTCCCAACCAGATTTTATCTCAAAGGCTTTGGATTTTTTCCCCTTGATTTAGGTAGGTATACCTACACATTTTTACATGATATTTACTGAACTGTTCAAGGAACTTTAATAATAGGTCAATTATTACAAAGCACTAACAAATCAATGTAAAAGTTGATCTATCTGTACTTATCAAATATGCCCACCATACATAAATTATAATCCAATAGGCCACAGTAATTTAGTTGAGATTTAAAGGGAAATAACCTCATTTATCCACTGTTAAGATTGTCTCAGCAACAAGAATAATTTTATCTGTCTTTAGTATCAGCATTCTTAAATGATCAAGCAAGCAAAGCAAATTTACCAGGTCTAAAGAACTTGCTGTGACTGACTAATCAGTTATAATCACCTAGGCAGGATTAACAAGATCTTGCCCAGAAAATAATGAGATCTGCTCATCCACGCCAAGCTCTAAGAACTGGGGGGTGGGGAGACTTCTTTAATCCCAGAAGAGTGCAAGAAAGGGAGCCCTTAAGAACCAAGGAATGAGTTTCATGGTGGAAGAGAAAACTTTAGGAACACAAAAGCCAGTAGAGGAGATATAGGTATTCAGAGAAGCATGTAAATTAAGATGACAGCTGACAGACCTAGCGCTCAGATAACATTTATCAAGCATTCAAGTACAGAAAACTGAAAAATTGTTAGCTGCAGGTAAATACAAAGGGGACAATTTAAAAAAAAAGTACTCTGAGGCAATTTAAAGATGACCTATAAATACAAAACACTGGCAAACAAACAATAAGTACCTGACTCAAAGAACCAGGAAAGTATTAAAATTAACACGAAATGATTCAAGATGGGTAAAAAACTTCACAGGGGAAGGTAAGACAAAAAGAGAAAAAGTATTCTAAAAGTTTACTGAGGAAAGGCTGGTGCAAAAGTTTAGTGATAGAAGCAAGTAGCCCTGCTAAACCGATGTGGAATAAGGACTCAATCAGCTAGAACATGGATAATGGTCAACAAAAGTCAGTCAATCAACAAGCATTTATTGAGTGTCTACTATGTGCCTATCACTGTACTAAGAGCTGGGGATACAAAGAAAGGCAAGAATTGTAGGTTCTCAAGCTCATGAGAAGGGCTGGGGAGGGGTAAGATAGCATGGACAATCCTAAAAGAAACCCATCAACAAAACTAGAAGAAAAAGATAAAACTATCAGGAAATGCTTTATCTAATACAGTGCCAAGGAAGAAAGAGATGCTAGGCACCTTCTAATAGGATGCCTGGTTTAAAAAAAAAAAGCTTCTCTTTACTTTGAGAGTTTCACATATGCCAAGGGAACAAAACCTTTGCTTCAAAGGTTAATCCAGTGTAATCAATCACCAGCAACTTTCACACAGGGCCAGCAAGTCTGATGGCAACAGAAATATGCTCCATGCTGATAATTCTGTCACAGGGAGGAAGGTATTATGGCGCTGAGAAGCTGCAGTGACAGGAGAAGGGATGGCAGCAAGTATCAGGCTAGCTGGGCCCTCAATGCCACCAGGATTCCTGAGGAGACTCAAGGAGGCATGACTAGGGAGTGCTTATTGGATGGAGAGAAAGTTGAGATCAGACCAAGGATGTTTCTAGTGTGTACTAAATATTTCGTATAAATTCTATGAGTTTTCTACTAAAGCAGGAAAATTCCAACCTTCTTACAACAGCTAGATACTGGAATGCATCACTGATTTCTCCTCAAAACAAATACTTTCATCCCCAAACCCTAATGTTTCACATAACCTAGAAACATGCTTATCAACATCTTAAAACACTTACCACATTCATTGAATTTGTCTTTTAGCATTTTCCATGTAAAGTCAAAAGGAAGCTGAAGGGGAAAAAAAATTACCACACTGTAATTAAGACACTACAGTTGTGCAGCCCACAAAAAATCTTAACATGCTTCAGTAATATTTTTTAAGTTAAAAATACTGCTTACTATAGAGAAGCCAATATGGCACTGATTTCAAGGCTAAGAAATTCTTGATTAAAGATGCAAACAGTCCGATGAACTATTTTAATTAACATTCCTTTACTATCAGTTCTGTGAAAGGAAGGAAGGAGCTTCCTGAGATTTTAACATGGAAGCTTCCCATGGCAATGGAGAGGGAAAGGAGGAGGAGGAGGAAGAAGGGGGGGGGGGATATTGACTATCTTTTTGTTGTTGTTGTTTTTTGGTGAGGCAATCGGGATTAAGTGACTTGCCCAAGGTCACACAGCTAGTAACTGTCAAGTGTTTGGTCTGAGGCCGGATTTGAACTCAGGTTCTCCTGACTTCAGGGCCAGAGCTCTATCCACTGCACCACATAGCTGCCCTGATATTGACTATCTTTAAGCAGAAAAAGTGGATGATCACTCGTCAGACACGAATTATGTTATTTGGCCAACGAAGTGCCTTCCAACTCTAGAATTACAAATTTCTGTTTTGCCAATTCTTGTGTCAGAAGTATTGTTGAGGAGACGGAGACAGTAAGCAGAAGTTCTCATTTCCTGTCCTTTTCTGTGAGTGATTAATAAAGAAGGAAAAGGAGAGAGCACATTGATGCTCAGTTTGGATCTGGTTTTGTTTTTTTTTTAAACCACTGAAAACAGGTAGCTCCACAAATTGGTTACAAGCCTGGCTGCAGATCACATGGGAGAGTAGACATAGGACATCTACCACTGTTATGCTATTAAACCCCTATGGGAGCTGTGTGCCCGTGAATCTGATCAAGAGAGTCAAGGGCTGATGTCCTGGAAAGGACTAGAGGGGCTTGCTGGATTCCCAGTGCATCTGACCACTTCCTTAAGGGAGTAGGCAGGAAACAAAGCAAGGGAAGAACACTCATCTAGTTCATGAAAAGGTTAACTGGAACAATTTTAAATATAGTTGAAAATGAAAGTCCCATGTACATGAAAACATAGCAGTTTTTTTTGTAGTAGTAAAGAATTAGCGATAGGCCCCTATCAATTGGGGAATGGCTAAACAAATTATTGCACATAAAGTATGTATGCAAATGATACTGCAGATTTCTGCAGTAGGGATGACTACATTTACAGCACAATTACTGTGCTATAAGAAATGTTCCTTTCATAGAAGCATGCAAAAACTTATATGAAGTTTGCAGATACAGAGTTAAGTGAACAGAACCAGGAAAATACATACAATGTAAATGGAAAAAACAAATCAAAACTGAAAGCCAAGGAATCAAAATTAAAATGACCCCAAAGATATGACAACAAATCACATATCCCTCTCTTCTTTGCAAGGATTCTTCTCTAGCATGGAATAAGAATGCAACATAAAACCTCACTAGTTCAAAACTTATCTACTGCATTTTAAAAAATCCTTCTTCCCACTGAAATTCCAGGATCTTATAAAGACTCCAATTGCTTTTCAAACTACCCCACCCTC